GATCTCTGGAGGTCCCTTCCAGCCTTACTCCTCTATACCTACACTTATATTGCCCCATCTCTGTTTAAGAAAAAAAAAATCTTTCTCCTCATGCACTCTTCTGAAAACTTCAAGAATGTGCCTGAAAAGAATGTGATCATACCAAGAATGCCAGTAATCTGAAAATGGTGGCAAATTTTGGGGGTTCAATGGGAAACTCAGGTCACTCATGATGAAGGTTGGTACAGCTGGATCAATACCCTGCCAGTCAAAGATTAACTAAAAAGTTAACTTCGAGGTGTTCTGTGTTTACAGGTGGTTTCTGTTCTCAAATCCAGGTATATGTAGACCATAACATTGAAGTCAAAATGAAACAAAACACTTAGGAAGTACCTAACAACACGTTCACAACAACTGACTTGCATTAATAATACTTGCTTCGCTGGAGTTTTGTGAGAATTAATATTCTTCAAGTGACTTGAAGATATAAAATACTCTTTGCTTAACTAAGCACTACTTTGTAATTATTTACAAAGTGCAAAATTTGAACCATGACTTCATCTTCCCTTTCCTAGTTGGTCTTCCTATCCTCTGTGCTCTGTCATTTTCAGTGCCTGGCCCCTCTACAACTCTGTTCAAGGCCATAAGTACAAATCTTGCCATGTTTCATGAACCAGGCTTTCATTAACAGATCAGATACTCTAAAATTCTGCTTTCTCCAGCAAGACTGACACTCCACCTTTAGTTCCTTGATTTATCATGTAGTGCTTTCAATCCTCAGTATGACATGCATACAACTCCCCATGCTCTAGTCTCTTTTGTTAAACACCATGTTTATCAGCCTTTATTGTTTCCTTTGCGCTGAGTGGCATCTGTAAAGGAGAATGCCCATAAAGCTTTGATGCCCTGGAGTGTTTCTGCCAAAAAAGCCTGTTCCTCTGTCTGATCAGCATCCATGCCCAGCTATATCTACTCAGCTATTCTGCTTTTCTCAGATATATGTACATTCAAGCCAGAATCAGGACTAAAGCCTTTTAACTGACTGCCTGTTTAGGACCACTTGAAGGAGTAATTTCATGCTATGCTTCTTTAAAATACCCATTAGGACTTTTTTAAACCAATACTTTAAAACACAAAGAAAACCCTGCTAAAAGTCTGTCACATAGCCCTTGATAAATTAACTTTTACAATAAATCATACGTTAAGCAGCATTTTTTAAGTCAGGCCAAGGCACAGCTTCCTTTTTTGCGAGTGCATGTCCCCTCCCCCCACCGTGAGCTCTGGGAACCAACTTGAAAGGTTACACTTCTGCCTAAAGTGGGCTTACAATAGGTACAACTACTCAAGTTTATTCCTCAAACCACATAATAAAAGATCCCCAAATGAATCAGTATCCTTGAATTTTGAAGGATTGATTCACAGCATGTGGACAGTATGCTGCCTCTGCATCCTACAACGTAACTGGAAATAAGGCTCTAACACTGCACTTTAATCTTCCCCATTTAACGAGTAACCCAAATGCAATTCTAACCTAGAAAATGCTGCTGTGACCTTTAAAACCACCGTAGATTTTCTGTAGGCAAAACTGTCCCTGATGTATACTACTTGGACAGTTCTATTTTATGTTGTACAGGCTGTATGAATCATTCTTTCCTGAAGAATACCTGCTAAAAATTAATCCAGCTGGAAGTCAGTATCAGCATTCAACCCCAAAAACAATTTGAGATGTTATTATTTGAAGCTCAACAAGCAAAGCCTGAGCTTCTCAACTGTATGGATGATGTGAGTGCCAAAGCAGCTTTTTCAATCTCTGACTATAACCTAGAAATCTGTGTCAGAGCAGTAAGGTATGTCACGCCATTGCATCAGCTTTTTCCATTTTTCTGAGAATCAGCACATGCTTTGTGCTGGTCAACCCCTAGAAATGTATGCACAAAAACAGCCCTGAAATGCACTCTGCTGTGGAAGAACAAAATAGGATGATTTATCTTTTACTTAAATTTAAATATTTCTCAACAAGAATAGTGAAACCCCACCTGGAATCTGCCTCCCTGCCTATTATGTTATGGTCATCCCTGTGCAATCTGAAATTAGTTTTTATCTAATCCATCTTAGATCAGTCAAAACAGATTAATAATAATCAATAATCAGCTCTCCTATTGTCTTCATATATAAAGCCAAATTCTGTCTGCTCCACAAAGGTAAAGGTGGCCTCTTCCCACTCACAAACAAGGAAGGTAGACTCTAAAGTGGAATGAAAAGTTTTCTTGTTTAATATGCTATGCCCTGTCTCCCATTAAGGATGTATGGCCTACTGGAAGTCAATCATGCCCCCTCCCCCAGCTACTGAGAGGATATACTGCCATCAGGCAGAAATAATGGCCAGTAGCACATTGCAGTTCACTTTAATCTTGCTCAGATCTGTAGATTGCCATTAAAAAAATCTACTCTGTGCCAGCAAGATCCCTGTTTCAGGAAATGCATCTCCCTATATCTCTTTCTTTCTAGCTTCCATCAATAGCAGGCTTAGCCCATTCATTATTGATTGCCTACTGTACAAAAAGTAAAAACTCTAACAAAATTTCAGTGTGGCTCTTCTTATATTCTCCTCCCAGCTGCAAACAACTCTCAGCCATGTCAGAGCACTGCTGCTCCTATATAGATTAATTATAGGTATGACAAGGGGAAAGCAGATTTTGTGATGCATATGTAAGACGGACCCTAATCTAAGAATTATCTTGCAGTTTTCCGTAATTGTACATGAATGCATATGCCAAAGTGTGCCAGAAATTGTTACACCTTTTCAATGGAATTTCTGTTTTAAATCTGTCACTGAAAAATATTCTGACTATCTAAGACAGAATAAAAAAGCCAGACAACACAGTAATGGAATATTTAAGGCTACAAAAAAAGAAAAAGTTGCCTATTACAATTTATCAAGAACTGACATACAGTGGAAAAAAGCAAATGACATCACAGTTTCTGGTTACCAAGGAACTAATACCCAAGCCTATGCTGAGTGTGTCCGCATAAATGATGAGTCAGTGGTCTGAAGTATTTCATGCACAACTGACTACCAGTACACTGTGCAATGGCAAAGCATCAGATTTTCTCACAACTATAACCCGAGGCAAGAACATTTTCATGTGGCTCTTTGTCTTCCCCTGAGTGAGGATATAATGATCCCTCCTCTGAGAGAAATCAGAAGTTTGATCCAACAAACCCACTGAAGGCTACCTGTGGCTCACTTCTGCAGGTAAAAATCTGGTAAGTTTTCCTCATTACATAGCAGTAGTTATGCAGAAGGACATGGAAATAGGCTTGATTCAGCAAGGGACTGGCATTACTCAGACTAAAACAATGATAAGACAATAGCCCACTGTGACAATATCCTGGAATGATGCTCAAGTGCTGAAACTTTCAATAGCGGCACTGAATAGAGCTCTTTCGCTCTACCCCAATGCCAGTTGCTCCTAACTTTGTCCTTCAAATTTTAAGAAAAAGTTGGTTGACACTAGACTCTCTAAAAGATGTCATGTGGAACAGAAGGGCTGAATGTTCAGATCAAGCAAAGAGGGAGAACTGATGTATTACGCAAACTGCCATAGAGAGGAAAGTCTCACTGGTGTTTTTAGCTGATGAGAGCACTGCCCAGACCTGCAGCACACTGGCAGAATTCCCATGTTTGATGGTAAAGCAGAATAAACCTATTTAGCATTTAATTCTCATGGATTTCTTTTTTTCTGAAATGGTGCCTCACACAACCAGATTTACACTTCCGAATCTGTAACATGATGTGAGCAAACAAATCCCATCTGTACCGACCCTTTTAAAGTTCAGCGTTTACAGGGAAACATGTATGGCTAAGGAGAGATGAGGCAAATATTCTTTTAGAGGTAAGTAGCTTAACAATGCTATGAATTGGCAGGAACCTCACTGTTCTGGTTTGTTTTCTAAGCCCAGGACTGTGCTGCTTTCCAGCTGCACTCTGGCCCCTTGGTGAGATACATGCCCTGCCCATTCACTCCTGCTCTGTGCCCCCAAACCAGACAAATAAGTGGTGCAAACTATTTAGAGCAGCTAGGAGATTCTTTCACCTCTGTGTCTCAGGACAGCCTGACAGATGGGGGCAAGGAAACATACTCAGGACCCCTCTAGAGCCATCTACATTGCCTAACTAATGGGCATGGGCACACAGAGCAAGAATGAATGGGTAGGACTCATTTCTTACTGGCAATTAAAGCATGGTGGAAGGTGCTGACGGTATTCCTGGTGGTCAGGATCTGAAGCATCTGTTCCAAGCTCCATGAGTCCCCAGGCTTCTTTGACTGATGTCAGGGAGCCATGAATCAGCTTCATAATTATCCTCTTTACTTGCCCTGTGACAAGCATGTCTGGCTAAAGGAGAGAAGCTGGTACTTCTGGCATATCTCTATATGCAATTCCACACTGTTTGGACCTGGGGAAACCAAACTACTAGGTTAAAGGGGCTCACCTTCGTAATATGTCAGAGGATTTTTGCTTCGGCAGAATTAACAATTTGTCCTCTTCTATCCTAACTAACTGAACATTTATTGAGCTTTTTTGTAAAACATCACAAACACTCTAGACAAAAAAAACCCTGCCACCTGTATAATGGAACACCCCAAAGTTATGCTCTTATTTTTAAATATCTTTGAGTTCCACCACAACTTAAGAAAGCCTGATGAGTGAAAAATCTATGCAAAATATGGATCAACTATTTATTTATGCTCCATTTAAGTCAATGGTTTATTGGGTTAACCTCTATTTGACCCAATGGAGGGACAAGTTGTTTTCCTTCAGCTAGTCATTAGTTGAACCGTAACTGATATTCCCAAGGAGAAACTTCATTTAAGTTGAAAAAAGAAAATCAATGAGCAGATGACTTAAGGACTAATGAGCACTCTGAGCTCCATCCTTTACCATAATCCTTTCTTTAGGCAAACAAGGAGAAAAAAAAGAGAAAACCCCCACTTAATTTATGCAGTAAAACTGTATACCTGTGAGAAAGCAATTCCGAAAGCCACTCCAGCTATGATTCCCATATTTGTCTCCATAAAACTGGTCACCAGATCATAACAGCCCTGAAAGAGAGACAAACAATCATTCTTTACAAGTATATATACAGGGATCCCTCTCAAGTAAGCTGGATTTAGTCAGATATTGAGTATTTTTGTCATGATGTCCAACACGACTTTAACTACTGAAAAACAAATAAAGTAAGCTAATGTCAAGCGAGGAGTTTACCCAATAATGGTGGTGACGGAAAAAAAGATTTTGTAAACAAATCTGTCAGCCTAAGGAGGAAGTGCAATGCTATGCTGTTAAAATTTTTGAGTGCCCCATGTGTTTTTAAAAAAATTTAAATATAAAGTTTTATTAAAAAAATTAAACATTTGTACAGAGCTGATCTGAAAACAGAACAGAAACAGACGGTAACATCCAGGTTGGGCGAGGGTGGGGAAGCCTAACTAGGAATGTGCTGCTTAATACAAACATTCCTCAGATGTGTTGCGAGGCATTCTCCATGGCCTTGTCCTGGTAGGGGCGGCAAGCATGGTTTGAAACAGTTTATTAGATGCTTATATCATGAAGTTGGTTTGTACTGTGTTTCCTCCAGGGTGGTCTGAGACTTGAAAAAAAAAAAAAGTTTAAATCCACATTCTTGATCTACAGTCCAGCCCTTGAGTGCCCATCAATTCCCTTGCTCCCCTCTACTTTAACAAACAGCCTTTGGAATCAACAGTAGTTCTCCACAGAGGGCAGAGGATTCTTGCGTATATGCTGCTCTTCTCCTGGATACGCCTTTTTACATCTCACTTGCAATATGTATATTTTCCTAAATTATTTTCCCAAAATAAATATATGTTTAGATAGGTTTAGAATTTGCTTTCTCCACTTACAGATGGATGTTACAATGAATCTCTCTCTCTCTCTCTCTCTCTCTCTCTCTCTCTCTCTCACACACACACACACACACACACACACACACACACACACACACACACACACACACACACACACACACACACACCCCCCTTCCCTACCTGCCAGGCTCTGTCCCCAAAACTGATTAAAAACTTATTTCCTGCAATTTTTTTTACCAGATGTTATATCTTTGTCAACTGTACAGTAAGCATCAAAAATGGAAATATTGTCTCGTCCTCACCTCTGGTAGGGCAATGTATTTACTCATATACACACAGATGCATGTAGGCTTCATTCATGCAAGATCATAGGCATTTCCTTAGAGCAGGGGTGCTCAACCCCTGAACCATGGGCCAGATCCAATCCCCAGAACCTTATAATCTGGCTCATGGGGCTCCTCACAAGCTGTGGCCCAGTGCATTAGTCAGGTGTGCAGAGAGGTGTGGGGGCCCAATCCCAGTGTGGGAGTAGCACAAGGCCCCCACACTGGATCTCAGCACATGGGACCGGGAGGTGGCAGCACAGGGCCCTGAACACAAATCCAACTCAGGGGGCCAGATGGAGGTGGCACAGAGCCCTGGAACCCAATTCCCACACATGGGATTGGGAAGAGGCAGTGTGGGGTCCCCAGGCACACAGAAGTAGGTGGAGGCCATGAGGGGCTACGGAGCCTGATACCCACATGCAGGGCTGCATGGAGGCAGCATGAGGCCTCCAGGCTCAATCCTGGTGTAAGTGGTCCCATACCCCTCGTTTGGCCCAAGGTAACAAAAGATCAAGCTCCACTGCCTTAGAGGATACATCAGCCTTATGTGACAAACTAGGGGGTCAGAAGAAGATAACAATATCTTTTGTTAATGCAAGCTATTCCCAATTACCTGATTTTTTCAACCGCCTTTGTAATATTATGTGCTTTTTTTTTTTTTTAAATCTTGGAACTAACTATGAAACAGATGAAGTTAATAGCAGCTCAGGATGAGCAAACTCATAATTTATTTTGTGATGTTTCAACATACATATTAACTCCTAATTGTATCGTGCAATATTTGTCAACTTATTCATGTAACAAGCAACTGTGGCTGTATACCACATGGATTATAAAACGAGGCTAGATTTCTCAACTAATTTTTTCATTTGGCTACACATGACTCAACGCTTACCCAGCCTTTTTCCAAGGTTCTCAAATCTGTTCAACAGTCTTCAAATGACGTAACATCTAAGAATGATGTTAATCTGAGAGTGTTTTAAGGTTTTATTAAAATGAAAGCATGCCAATGAAATACTTGTGATTATTTGCCTCATTAGAAGGCCATGTTTTTCCAGTGCACCAGGATGTTTTCTGCATTTTATTGCATGATTACAGATTAATTGCTCAGTCATTATTTTGCATAATAAGGGTATATGCAGCACCCAAGAGCCATGCCGCTATTACCAAAAATACCTGAAACATTGGTTGTGCTGTAACTAGGCAGATACTCAGTGTAAAAATGCCAATTTGGCATTTGCAACACTATACGTTTGATCCTTTATCTGAATTTTAGAGAAAAATAATTCTTAGGCATTGTTTGCAATGCACTTTGAAGATTAAAAGCAGCATGCAAATATTAATTAGCTAATCCTAATGACAGCTCTGAGAGTTAGGTATTAGCCTCATTTGACAGATGAAGAAACAGACATGCAGAGATTAAATGATTTAGCCAAGGTCGCTTACCAAATTAGTAGCAGAGTTCACACTGAATCTCAGAATTTCTAGCCTACAGTCCTGTGGTCTGACCAACCAACTTCTGATAATTCATCACTATGCCTCAGGATATTTTCATAAATCAATTAACTTTCTGAGACCTCTCACTTTGCAAATTTTATCCAACTGCAGAAAAGGCCGTGTATCAAATAGATTTACAATGGAGCACGAAAAAGTCTTCTGCAACATAGTGACCCCGTTTCTCCATTTTTCTAAGTCACATGTAGGCAACCAAATATCATATAACCTCCTTTTCTTTACCAACAACGCAATAGGACTCAATTCAGAAGCCACGAAGCCCTCCAAACTGCAGTACACAGCCATTCAGTTCCCACTGCTTCATTTTCATTCCTATTTCTCCCTAAAACTTTCCATTTTGTTCTAGATTTTTGGGAAGTTCAGAGATCTGACACACCTGCTAAGCAGAGCTCTTTAAACCTTAGATTTAACTGCAATGTCAGAAAACCGAAAACAATTCCCCAAATTACCCCTGGAAAATTCAGTGAAATAATTGCATCCGTTATTTGAGAACAAAGACCAGTTAGAAAAATAAAATCAAAACAAAAATTGTGCTCCTTTTTCAGTGAGTATGAATCCTGTGCAGTCTGCCCATTGTACAAATCAAAACATGACCACAAGATAACTACAACTACTTTAAACTTGGGAGGGATCATCTCTACAGCTTCTCATAAGCTTTTTGTTTTGTTTGCCTGTTTAATGACCCCACAACTTTTCCTTCAGATTGTGATTTATTTCCATTTTGTATGTAGCTAAAAAATAAAAGCCATGTTGCCAAGATCCTATATCAATCAAGACAGGCACTTGTCTGGTCCCAGTCAGAACACAGACTGTAATCTCTCTCCTACCTTCTGTCTTTGCAAAAGGAAAAGCAACCATGTATTTGAGATGCACTGGGCTTTCTCCTCATTGGCACCCCTTGGGTGCTAGTCACCTGTGAAGTTGAGCTCTGGGCTCTATCCATCTTTTAGGTAAACCTTAGGCCTAGCCCACCTTACAAAATACAGTATCATAACTCCATATGCTGGTATAATTTATGTCATTCAACATCGTGGTTTAACTACATCAGCACAAGAAGCTTCTTCTTCTAGAATAAGCTATTTCACCATCATGGGACTTTGCTGGGTTAGCTGTATTGTTATAGAGCAGAGCCTCTGTACTGTAAACTAACCCACACACAAATGTCCACTCATCCACCAGAGTGAGGGTGAATATATGCCCACCATTGGCACAGATCTTGTGAGGGAGCACCTTGAGAGGCTGGACACCCACAAATCAGCTGGCCAGTTAGATAGCACCCAAGAGTGCTAAAGGAACTGGCAGACATCATAGTGCAGCCATTGGCAAGGATATTTGAGAATTTGTGGCACTTGGGCAAAGTAAATTGTTAGAGAGAAGGTTCAGGCTGTACATCAGGAGACACTACTTTACAGTTAGGGCTGCCAGGCTCTGTAATGGGCTCCCAAGTGAGGTGGTGCTCTCTCCTACCTTGGGGGTCTTCAAGAGGAGGCTAGACAGACATTTGGCTGGGGTGATATGACCCCAGCAACTGCTCCTGCCTAGGGCAGGGGGTCAGACCTGATGTTCTGTTTATGTCCCTTCCAACCCTAAGCACTATGACACTATCTAAAGACTGGAAGAGGGCCAATGTAGTGCCCATCTTCAAGAATGCGAATAAAGAAGATCTGGGAAACTACAGGCCAATTAGTTTGACCTCAATCCCTGGAAAGATCTTGGAAAAAATTATCAAAGAAACCATTCTTGACAGACAAACAGAAGGCAACATTCTGAGGATAGCCAACATGTGCTTATTGTGGGTAGGTCTTGCCTGACCAATCTCATTTCCTTCTATGACTAGGTGATGTATCACCTGGACAAAAGGGAAGAGGTTGACTTCATATATGTGGACTTTAAGAAAGCCTTTGACCTGGTGTCCCATGATGTTCTCTTGGAAAAATTGGGAAACTGTGGCCTTGACTACACTACAGTCCAATGGCTGGGGAACTGGCTCCGAGATTGGAGGCAGAGAGTGGTAGTTGACTCCAATGGCTCCATTCTCAGACCTGTACTCTTTAATGTCTTTATAAATGATCTGGACTCTGGTGTCAGAAGCGGACTGGCTAAATTCACTGATGACACCAAACTTTGGGGAAGAGTGTCCACACTTGAGGATAGGCTGGTGATCCAGGCCGACCTTGATAGGTTTGCAAGGGGGGCAGATGAAATCTTGATGGCATTCAATACGGAGAAATGCAAGGTGCTCCACCTCAGGGAAAAAAACCCGACATCACACTCATAGGCTTGGCAATACTACACTCACTAACACCATGACCAAAAGAGACTTGGGCGTCATGACTGACCACAGGACAAACATGAGCCATCAATGCAATACCACAGCCGACAAAGCAAACAAAACTCGGGCTTGCATCTACCGATGAACCTCAAGCAAGACCCAGGATGTCATCTTCCCACTGTACTCAGCCTTGGTGAGGCCGCAGCTGGAGTACTGCATCCAATTCTGGGCTCCACAATTCAGGAAGGATGTGGAGAAGCTTGAGAGAGTCCAGAGGAGAGCCACACACATGATCAGAGGGCAAGAGAACAGGCCTTACGAAGACATGCTGTGAACCATGGGACTCTTCAGCCTGGAGAAGTGCAGGCTCAGGGGTGACTTGGTGGCAGCCCATAAGTATATAAGGGGTGTGCATCAGGATCTGAGGGAATGCCTGTTCACAAGAACACCCCAAGGGATGACAAGGTCAAACAGTCACAAACTCCTGCAAGACCATTTTAAGTTGGACATAAGGAAAAGCTTCTTTACTGTCCAAGCCTCTAAGGCCTGGAATGGACTCCCCCCAGGGGTAGTGCAAGCACCTACTCTGGACATGTTTAAGAAACATTTGGATGCTTATCTTGCTGGGATCCTTTGACCCTAGCTGCCTTCCTGCCCTTTTGGCAGGGGGCTGGACCGACTGATCTTGTGAGGTCCCTTCCAGCCCTAATGTCTATGAAATCTATGAAAATCTATGAAATATGCATAGGTACTGGCTCCTGACATTGCTGGGACTTCAGCTTCAGTATAGTCCCACTATATGTTCCACTACAAAAGGCAGAATCTGGCATGAATTAACTGGTGAAAATTACTGTTTTTGCTTCTCCTTTAAACTCTGTGAACACGGCAATATTACACCGATAGCAGCTGTTACACAACTGACTGACATCATCACAGTTTCAAGTACATCAGCAGTGACTGGCTCTCCTTAGGCTACCATGGTTGAAGAATGAGTTGGTAGAAGCTAATCCAATGTTATCCTCTTCTCTGTGTGCTACAAAAACAGTCTACCTTTGAAAACAGTTGAAATAAAGAGTCCTAGATGTGAAACTTAAATCATTATTTCAAGTTCCTGATTCACAGGTGATTCACAGCTGAAAAGGACAAAAAAATAGAAACACGGCCAACAATTCCCAGGGTTTCCTGTTATACTCCAATAATTCTGTGCATCAACAGTTACCTTGGATTTATGAAGAAACAACAAGGGAAAGAAATTGCTAAACACTATGGGGCAAATTGGTCTCTGGTGTAACTCAGCATTAGGGTTTCATTTCAATTATTCCTTTTATGGGCAATTTGTTTCCTATCTCTCCTGAAAACATTTTTGGAGGGCGGGAACAGATCAGAAAAGAAATTCTGTGCCAGCAATGAAAGTACATTCACACAACAAGTATAAGCAGTGTATTTTCTATCCATTACGCTATTCTCCCTTTTCTGTTACTTTATATTTTCTGCATTTTTATTCTCCTATAGCCAACATATTTGTTTGCTGGCTTATTCACTCTCTCTCTCTTTCTCTCTCTCTCTCTCTCTCTCTCTCTCTTTTCTACTCTCCCAATCTTCTTCTTTAGGTTGATGAGAGGTTGCAGTTAGGTCTGTCCTGCCTGCAGCAATGCATAGCCTAATGAGACACTAAGAGGCACAGTGAACATAGCTAACTAATCACAATGCTTTCCATCATTCATTCCTCTGTTTGGGCTGACTTGCAGCATCCAGTGCTTGGAATTTCTCTCAGATAACAAGCTATGAAAAAATGGAACCCCCAAAGAGTCGGCATGAATAAGCAGGGAAGTGTTGACTGACATGGCCCGTACAACTCTGCCAACTTTGACTCGCTGTGAGACACTGTTCCTGAACAGGTGTGATTGATATGGGAAATGAGCCCACATTTTACCACTAGGGCTTCTGTGTCAAGCTGTTTGGGAAACATCAGCTTAAGAGTCCGGTAACAAGCAGTGGGCAGAAACAGGCAAACATTGCTACCCTTTACCTATCCCCAGTTTCAATGCTCTCCATGTCAATTGAAACAAATGCAGCTGTACATAGCAATGTGTGATACTAATTTACTGGATGGTTGCATGTCAGTTGCCTTCAGCACAAAGTGGTCCTCACCTTCTGATTTACTTTAGTAGCAGCCACAGTCATATTGCGCAGATCCTGGGGGTTACAGTCACTGGAGTTCATGCAACAACTTGGGGGAATCCCATGTTCAAAGAAGTAGGGGCTGCTGCTCCAGTTGGTGTAGTTCTGGATGCCGCAGCAGCTCAGCTAGAAAAGAATGAGAGTGGAATGATAAAGGAAACCAGAATTATAAGTTATCTGCACAACTTGAGATTTCATCCATCAGAGAAAACTTACCCTCTGAAACTCATTTTCAAAGTATGTCTGGGTCTATATCCTGCTCGTTTAAAAGCTAGTAGCTAAATTCCCATCGACTTCAATCGGATTGCAATTGGTCTGTCTGGCCAGCCAGAAGAATGAGGCACCTGAATACTTTGAAAGGTAAGTACTCTACCATAAACAAACTATTATGTGAGAAGATCAGAAGGGAGCCAACAATGTACCCCTCCTCTTACCAGAACGCTCCTTCCAGCCCTACTTTCCTACGATTCTATGATCCCAACAAAAAGAAAACAACCTTAGCCAAACTGGCTGGTAATGGCTGGTAAAAACCCCAAAGAACACCTTGGCCCATGGAAGCTGTTGGAAAAATTCCCACAGATTTCACTGGGGACCAGCATATCACCCCAACTCTTGAGAAACCTGACTCTATACTAAGTATCAAATATTGGAACTAGGCAACCAGTCAAACCATTTGTAAATCAATATCACTTAACCTTTCACAGTTTGTAATAAAACAAAAATAAATTTCATTTACATCTTTTTTTCTTCTCAGAGAGATTTTTAAACTTACACTTTGTTGTACGTCATCCACTGCGCGGCTTCTCTCATCATTCCCATTGTAATTCTGGATAGCTTCAGTGTATGTCCTAAGGAAAGTGTCCTTTATCTAAGTGGAAAAAGTCAGGTATGTGGGAATTTATAAAGGAACCAGCACATGGAACTGACACCTTCATGCATAAGCTCTTAGTTTGAAAGGATCTTTGCAGCAAATTTACCATTTTTCTACATAAAACCTCCAAGTCAGAGGGAGGATGCACTACTTCTGCTTTCTAAAGTGTGCCTTCAGGGTGTATAAAGCTACCTGTCATCATTCACAAGCCCTTTCAACAGCATTTCAGGTTGACTCCTGCTGCTGTGGGTTCTTCAAAAAGACCAGCAAATTGTGACATGTCTAAAGACAGGACTGTGGTGATTTTGGAGCTGCCCTATGCTAATTTTGAATATTATTTATTGACTTAGTCACACGGCTGTTTATTGTATGACTATGTTGATTTAGCTCAATAAGAGAGATGTCTGGAAAAACAGACAGAAGAAATAACCAGTTTAAGACAGCTATCTCTCAACAAACACTTCAAGGTACTAAGGGACAATGCCTACATTATTAACTTTGATGGTTCCACCTCTACCTCATGCCAACTAGCAAAAAGTGGTATGGACCAGGAAGGGTCAAAGCCTGGCAAAACAAAATAACTACAACAGGATTTAAAAAGGAACTCTTGCAAAAGAGAGTGGGCAGTCATTCAAAAGATAAGCAGATACAGATGGCACAACTATGCCAGCTAAAGGGCACCATCTTTCTACACCCTTCAGCTATATAACTAAGGCAGCAAATTCCCTGGTGTAAAGCAGCTACAGTGACAGAAGAGGACTTCAGCTGGCATGGTTTGTGACACTGAGGGAGGTGTTGAAGCCATGACAGCAAAAACACTCCTGTCAGCATGCTCTGCATCTATGCTATTGATTTCTGCTGGCATGGCTATGGTGACACAGCTACGGTGGCAGAGGCTCTGTAGCACAGAGAAGCCCACAGGCATGGGGGCAGGTATCTG